GGGGGGGGGGGGGGGGGGGGGGAAGGGGGTGCGCGCACTGGACCACAAAGAGCATCCAGATGGAAAATTTGACAAGAGAATTCACCTGAGCGAACAGATCAAACTCATCGAGAATGAAAATGACTGTTCGGTGAGAGAGCATACATTGCCTGCAAACACGCAACCAGGAGAGAGAGCAAACAGTAGAGTGTGAGAACTCTCTAGCATGCGGGATTACATTTTCTTTTGATAAGTTCTATCCATCTCCAGGGACCCAAGGACTCGAAAAATCAAAATAACGAAATTCTCGAGTCATTTCAATAGACTCAGAAATCACACGTTTCTCTGAGTCATCGTATCGTGCCCTGAAGCCGTAAATCATGGAACTATGTATAAGATCATCCAGCGAGCAATCCAAGATAAACGGATTCTCAAACTAATCCGCTCTGGACTGCAAGCTTTTTTTCATATGCCACACGCCATGGCTTACTGTCGACATATACGCTCACCGCCTGCTTGAGACGTGGACAGTAATGTATGGCCCAGAAAGGGACCGGCTTCACGTAGTGGAAGCTGGCAGGAAAGTTGAAGATATAGTCCATACCATGGAGAAATTCACGGAGAAGGGCATCACATGTTCACTGTAGGTCTAAACGTAGATTCTCAAGATAACATGGCACCGGTTGAAACAGGTTGAAAACTCTATTCATTTGTTTGAAACATGAACTGGAAGAAAAAAGGAAAATGGGAGATGAATTCAATTTTGGAGTGGAAATTTGAGAAGTGTTCGGTGAAAAAGGATATGCAAAAATAAACTAGTTTGGACTGAATTTACACGAATATGGTGAAGTGATTCCTACATGGAGGCTTGCGAGAGTCGGAGCTTCGGCGGAGCCTCTACTAGGCTTTATGGTCTTAGACTTCCTTCCCTGTTCTTCTTGATTCAAGTTCGACCGGCGGGCGGCGCAGTGCGACCGGGAGCGCTGCGTACTCGGATTTTGGCCAGCGGGAGTGGTGGAGTAAGGACAAGGCAGGGCTGGCGCAACGAGGGATCAGCATCGATCAAGAAAGGAGCGGCAAGAGCGATTATGGTGGTGGGGGGTTGGGCTGGTGCGATGGGCATAGTAGTTCGGTTGATAAATGTCGCTGATGCCATGGGTGGTGGTGGGCGGGAGGAGGGTAACAGCATGGTGGTAACCAAGGTTGCCGAGGATAGCACGGGCGAGGAGAGGTGGAGGTGGAGTGTAAGGCTAGGGGGGGGCTGCTGTCAATAGGGATTGATGCAGTGTTGGGCAGAGGAGGGAGCCTGGTGCCACGTGGGGAGAGAGGAGCGGCCATCTTAGTGACATCTTTGGGTAGAGGATGAACACCGTGAAGGTTTGGCGATAAGGTGTGTTATGGTTTGAAGACATCGGAAATAAAGACACCCCTTCAATTCTCCAAACTACCTGCAAGAGGCGGCTGGCAGGTTCAGTTGTCGGGCTCGTGATGTGGTTTTGGATCGCTGTGATGGTGATTCCAGCTGCGGTCCGTTTATCTTCATTGTCCGGCTTTTCGAGGCGGCAATAGTGTAGTCAACCATAGGCGGCCGGGTGCTTGACAGTCGATGAAGGCGAGGAGGTGAGGTTTGGAGGGTGGAGGGGTTTGTCGATGATTGGATCAAGGGAAAGGTGTTTTTACCTCTTACCTATCCTGAATTCCTGAGTGGGTGTTGGACTGTACTAAAATTCTAGATGGATATCCCGATATTCCTACGAAAGCAAGTTTGTGATCTGTTTTTTTCAAAACTTTAATGATCGAAACGGTTTTATTCCATCTATCATAAATTCTTGATTTCTGTTTGTTTCTATTGTAATTTTTTAGAGGTTCACTCATCGTCGCATCTGTCTTGAAATATCTTTGATTCTGTTATAAAACTATCTTCTAAAATACTTCTTAAGCTCTTATTAAGTACGATTTCGAAAAGATTTTCTTAAAAAAATTCTCAAAATATGTGTCAAACGTCTTCGCTAAACGATTCTCAAACCAAAGTTTGAGACTCTATTTTGAAAATCCTTCTTGGATATCTAAACATAAAATTCGTATGTTTTTTTTTTCCGAATTACACATGTCTAATCTTTAGTTTCGTAACCGATTCCCTATTTTGAAAATTGAAGTGTTTTGTATTCCAATTTCTTTGTTGTCAGATAACTTTTCTGCTCTAATCTTTGAATTCCTTTTTTCAAAAGTTTCTCATAATTAAGCCCTGGATAGATAGACTAAAGGGTTGCGCTCCAACAGGAGGTATAGGGTGGGCAATATCAAGGCTGGGGCAGGGAGGGGTGTTTGAGATTACACTCTCAAGATTGGCCTTCTTCCAAAGAGGATAGTACAAGGTGGGAGTACTGTCCTCAAGGGGGAGGGGGTTTTAAGGTGGGTGTTCTCTTCTGGGGCTGGGCTGGTCTTTGGGTCAGATCAGCCACAGCGGTTGGGGAAGAGGACAAGGTGGTAGAGCTGATGGCATTCGTTTTCAGCAGGAGGAGTGATTGGTGGGCTGTACCACCAGGCGGTGGGACAGGATGGGGGGGGGAACTTCTGCTCCGCGATGAAATACTCTAGGGGGGATTGTATTCCATTGAGGGAGCATGGGGTGTCCGAAGGGGGTCTGTTCTGAACTGAGGCTGACGGGAGATGGGGGCTCCCTATAGCAGGGGCAGAGCGGCACAGAGGGGGGTGCTGAGGACAGAGCGTGATCGAGGGTGCGGTAGGAGGATGTTGTTTGGAGTGAGAGCCTTAATGCATAATAATTACTTCCAATTCTTGCCTATGATCTGGGTGAGGAGTGGTCGGGGGGTAAACGTCTTGTTGGCAAGGAGGGCAAGCTGACAAGATGGTATTAGGGCAGGCAGTAGGGAGGATGGTGGCCTAACTATAGTAAGTCCTACTGGAAAAGGGAGGGGGGAGGTAGGAGTTAGAACAGGAAGATTGGGGGTGGTTGGGAGTTGTTTGCAGGTGACTAATATTCAGTCCAGGCCGAGTAGGTCTGGAAGACGTTGCTGGGAAGACGCAGACTATCACTGGGGTTCTTTTGCTCTGTAACCCAGGTGGGGGCTTGGGTCTGGGGAAGTTCACCGAGGGAGGAAGGTGAAACCAGCTTGTCCAACGAAGCCAGTGTTGGGGCATTGCTCTGTAGCCTGAATGAGTCAGGGGCTTGAGGCTAGGAGGGAGTGGCTGAGGGAGGAAGGCACTCCGGTCTCTGGCATCAGAACGAGGATGGTCGGAGCTGGGGCAGGCCGTGCAGCCCTGTAACCTTAGTTGATGGGGGTTCAGAGACTGTCTTAGTTCTGATGAGGATTGAATGGTCGGACTGAGTTTTGCTTGCTTGTCATATGGATTGTGGGAAGAACGAGAGGTGAGTCCTGTTTTCTTTTTGCTAGTCTCCTTGGTTGGTGGATCTATAGGTAAGCTTTTGACAATAGTATCTTCTCAGCGGACTGGTATCTTTTTTTTTTTCTTACATTTTTGAAACGTTTTTAAGTTTTACTCAAAATGGACCATGGTGATGATCGGTGGCCGGTCTGGCATCTACTGATGCCTTGGGTCCCAGACGTTCGCAAATGGACGAGGCCAGAACAACGCTGGTCGGTGCTGGGGCTTGGTCGTGATGCCCTGTAAATCGAGCAGTACGGGGGCATGAGACCTGGTTGAGAGATCTGGGGAGTTGTCGAGGGAGGAAGGCACTCTAGTGTCTATTGGTGAGCTGGTACTCAGTCTACGCTGGCCGGAGCTGGGGCGGGTCGCTTCTCCCTGTATCCTAGCAGGTGGGGGAATGTTCCGGGGTGGGTCGTGCCACTCTGTAACCTAGCAGTTGGGGGTGTGAGGCCTGGTAAAGATTGGGTATTGGGATACAAGGGTTGAGGTAGGTTTAAGGTTGGGCTGCTGAAAGACACCAAGGCAGGTTGTTTTCAGTTTGGAAGCTCACATGGATCAAAGGTTGCGGGGTTTTCTCATAGCTTTTCTGAGTTTTCTATCGAATAGGCTCATAGAATCCAAGCTTTCTTCAGCAGATTTGCAATCTCTTCACAGCCTCTTGCTGTTTGAAGTGCATAGCTATCATTCCCAGCCGAAGCTGGGTAATGGCCCCGGTATCTCAAATTGTTCTGCATATGTTTCTTAATATGTTCTTGAATGGGACGCTGGGCCCGGTTCCCAGCACGTGCTGCTCCCCACGAATAGACTGGAGCTCTGTCCCCAAAAAAAAAAAAAAAAAAAAAAAAAAAAAAAAAAAAAAGATCATGAAAAGCATACTATAAGTAGAGAGTACCAACAGAATTGAGTACAACTGTATTTCAATATACTGTTTATGCTTCCAAAATACAAAGTTGGACGAATCTGGAAATTTTAGGAAATCTAAGTCAAACCTGGGTGGGGATCCGGGCCGCCCGGCTGACTGGCGGGGCCCCAGGGGAGGTCCCGGGCGGCCTGGCCGGGCAGGGAACCCGGTTGGGGGCCGGCCCCCCCCAGCGCACTCACCTGTCTGGGGGTCTCAGACCCCCTTTTCGCTGCTGTTGGCCTCCCGCAGGCCTACCGGGTCCGACCGGCCCGAAAAACTGTCCCGTCGGGCGGTACGCCTGCGGGACTTTTGAAAATTTGTGACGGCTCTGTGGCCATCGATTCACCATGATCGACGGCCACAGAGCTGGTGGATCTAGGCGCCAAACTTCCCCCCATTCAAACCTGGGATCGGCTGGGGTGGTCTGCCACTCGCCCCCCAGCACAATCAGAGTTGTTCCTGCACCGTCCTGCTGCGCCGTCGCCCGTCGCCCGTCGCCATCGCCATCGAGAGTCCTGCTGCAGCTGCTACAACGAAAACCCCGACTGTCCTGCTGCTGCTACTACTACGAAGGCCCCAATTGTCCTTCTGCTGCTGCTACGACGAAGGCCCCGACGACGAAAACGTCGTTCTTCTTCTTCTTCTTCTTCTTCTTCTTCTTCTTCTTCTTCTTCTTCTTCTTCCTGTCGTAATCGTTTAGGGTTGTGTTGGACGGGCAGACGAAGGCCCTGCTGCTAGGGTAACTGTTGCAGGTAACAACGAAGACCCCGACGAACTTCTTCTTCTTCTTCTTCTTCTTCTTCTTCTTCTTCTTCTTCTTCTTCTTGATCATTCGGTAGGTGTCTTCTTCTTCTTCTT